TTAATGCATATATGTTCACAAACTTCCATCCCAATCCAAAATTAATGCATATTAATATTGATCACTACAGCCCCTTCTTTTCTCAGTTGAAGCATATTCAAATTTAACTTATTAGTTTTTAAGGTTCAATATTGCATACAGTATAATCAATTAAAAAAAATAAAAAAAAAAAGTTCAAGAACTTACGCAGCCATTTAATTTCAGCTGAGGACTGATAAGTCTGGAGTTTATTAAATAAATTAATCCGATAATGGATCATTATTAATAATTCTTATGATCTTCTAAGTGAGATCACGCATATTAAGCGATCATTATTTCTAGATGTTATGATCTTATAGGTTTAAGAGATATCTAGTAGCAAGGCAACTAATTAACTATTGGTTTACTTATTGTTGCTGTGGTGACCAGTTTTGCCAAGCTAATTAATGTTGGTGAGTCAATGGTGGTTATAGTTACAATTATTATGAAGAGTAAACGACGGGGTGATCAAGCAACGGGTATTTTCCGGCAAAGCTGAGTGATCAGGCGAGGGGGTGATATGGGTTTTTGAAGAGAACATGGTGAGGGATCGAATGGTGGTGGTGATGCAGATTTCCAATGATAGAAACACACAGAAACTAGCCGAGAGGAATGGAAGTCTCCAAAAAATACATGTCGTAAATTTGGGACACAGGGGTTATTTTGACTTTTTAATTTAATTTGAAATGATCAATTTAATCTTTAACAAAATAAAAAAAAAAAAAAAAAAAGGCGTCCATTCAAGGGTGGAAATCTAGAATTTATGAAACAAGGAGTATCAGCCTAGAGTTTGCTAAACCTTAGGTGGGAATATGTTGTTTACTGTTATTATGAACTTTTTCACATCATATGTTAGTATTCTATGTTATTGTTTTGGTGTTAGCGCACGACAAAGCAATGAGTCAATTATAAATGGTGGTAATTAACACTTTATTATCTAAATTTTTATGAAAATTGATGAACATAATTGTCAATGTACCTATGAAATGGAACCAAGAAAAAAAACAATTTCTTGTATCAATTCTAAAGTTCTCTCTTTCAATAGTCTGAGCTTAGAGGAAAGGGGAATATAATTGCTTTCTAGTATGCAATACATGTAATTTATTCGCACCCCAGCAGAGTTTATAGATTTAGGAAGTAGTTTATTTTGTTTGGCCCGGCTAAGCAAGCAACATGCGTTTGTTAATAACTGGGATGGCCGTGACAAGCCTCTGCCCCATTCATGTCGAGGATTAAGTGCAAAAAGTTGGAGACGGGCCCATAATGGTAATCACTCACCATCCCCACATTGATGTTGGGTCGGAGAGGGGGTTGATTCTAATCCCAGCCTGACCCAATATTGTCGAAAGATTCAAAAATTAAATAAATAAAATATTTAAAAATTTGGAAAACCAAATAAATAATTTTCTCTTTCAAAATCATTTATAGGAAACGTATGTTATATAATCTATCTATTATGTTTGGGTATATAAATTTGTTAAACATAATAATTTAGACAGAATCATATTCATTTTATGGTAAATGAGATATTTCGTTACATATTTTCTTAAAATTGGAAGAAATAAACCTAGAAAGACAAACACTAGACCTAATTAAACCTTTCCTCCAGAAGAATGAATTCGGTTTTAAACAGGGAAGATGAAGCCAAGGCGTGCAAAGGCAAGCACTGGCCTAAAGGCCGATTATGCCCCTACTGGGATGACTCTAGTGCAGAAAGGTACGGTGGTTTGACCTCCAAGCTTCAATGACAGGTTCTAGTTTAGTGCATTCTCCAATGGAATTGGGAACAAAGGAACAACGCAATGTTTTGTTTTCTTTGGTGGAAGTTGAAATCAAGAAATTTTTTTTTTTTTTAATGCCTATCAATTAACTAAGGTGCGACAATTGAGAGCTCAGTAATTTGTGAATTCATTACTTTTTCATTAGTAAAATTCAAAGTTTTAAAATCTAGCTTGGTCCAACCGGTTCGCTTGGTCGAACTGGAAATCAAGGGCTAAGTCGAGTCAATTAGGGTAGAAAACCAAGAATTCTAGTTAACCCATTCTGAGCCGCGGTTGGACCAGTGTTACTGTAGTAAACTGCCGGTCCTAATCGGTTTTGTGCCAAAACCGAGTTAACTCAATTCCTGAAATCAAAAATTATAAATCCCTTTTTCAATTTCATTTGACACCCTAATCTACGCTGGGACTTCGACATCTTCAATCTTCAGCTTTGCAGCTTTCTTCGATCGACCACCTATTTGCCAAAATCAACCGCCTCCAACAGCACCACAATCGCCTTCCGACGAGGTTTGTGTTTAATCTTCACTTCATTTCACCATGTGTTGTCAGCTCTCTAATTTTAGGTTGCTAATGAACACAAGATTACTAGATTAGCTCATCTTAAATAAAGATTAATCCACACTCACCTCTAATCAAGCTCTTGCAAAGTTCTATGTGTGACTTTTATTGATGTTTTAATATTTGCAAAACTAGGGTCACCCTTAATTTGTAATTGTGTAAGTATTTTTGTTTTCTTTAATCTGTGTTGCTTTAAACTTTTGGAAGAACATTAAAATAAAAAAAAATATATTGATCTAGTACCTATGAGCCATCAGATATGGCTTCTGTAGAGTTTTAATCTAGGGGAAAATATTGAAATTTGACTGCTTTTATTGACATATAAATTTGGTGGAAGAGAAGTACCTTTTTCAAGGTAGTATCCAATGGGGCTGCATTTTGTAATGAATATGTGGAGAAGACAAAGAATAAGACTTGTAAAATTAAGTCATGGGAGGATCTCGAGAATGTGGCTCATGACTCAAAAAAGAGAATAAAAGAGTTGAAACACACTCATTCCATAGTGGACTATGTCGAAGAGTTTTCGGGCTAAAGTTGTAGATTAATAACATAAGTGAGGATGATTTACTCTTCAATTGGGCTTGATAATAAATACTAAGGCATGAGGCAAAAGATGTGTCCTCAGTTATAACGATAGCAGATACTTTCCAAGATTACCAAAAAAAGTGACTCTTCTTCTAAATAGAAACATTTTAAATCAAAGCATGGAAAAGTTGGGGGAGAAAAAGAGTCTCCTTCCAACGATGGAAAGTGTTAAGAACCTACCATGAAAGAGTGGAATAAGGGCAAGAGAGAAACCAAGCCTCAGAGCAATTGTTTCATATGCAACAGTCTACACTGGCAGTTAGAATGTCCAAAGAAAAGTGTATTGAATGTCATCATTTAACGAGAGTTGGGTGAGAGATTCATTACAACTCCTCAATGCCTTGAAGCAAATTCAGTTTCACTCAAGCTTAATAAGAAATCCCTCATGTATGTAGAAGTTTGCATCAATGGGAAGGCTACTCAAGTCATGCTAGACACAAAATCGTCTCATAACTTTATTCAAAAGGAGGAAACCAATAGGCTTGGCCTTAAGGTTGACAAAGGGAGCAGTTGGTTAAAGACGATAAATACTAAAGTGAAGCCTCTTGATGGTGTAGCATGTGATGTGTATCTACACTTGGACATATGGATTGGCAAGGTAAATCTTTCAGTTTTTTCTCTTGATGATTTTGTTGTGTTGGGTATTGAATTCCTCAAGCAATTTAACGTTGTACCATTGCCATGCTTCAACACTGTTTATATCTTGGAGGGAAACCTGTGTATGATTCCCACAGTGACGAAGCCCACAAGGACAAAGCCAAGCGACAAACCATATCTTCTTTTAACAATGCAACTAAAGAAAGGGGCCAAGCAGTGAGAAGCCACATATTTGGCCACTATGCGCACAGTGGATGATGAGAGTGATGGTTTAGTGAAGGAGGTATTGACAGAGATAACCACTGTACTCGAGGAGTACAAAGGTGTAATACCACCAAAATTTCCCAAGACATTGCCACCTAGGAGGGAGGTGGATCACTAAATTGAGCTTAAGCTTGAAGCCAAACCACTAGCGAAAGCCCCTTATCACATGTCACCACCTGAGCTAAATGAGTTGAAAAAACAGCTTAAAGATTTGTTGAAGTTGGGGTTCATGCATCCAACCATCTAAAGCACCATATGGAGTTCCAGTCCTATTTTAGAAGAAGCATGACGGGTCGTGATGGTTATGTATCAACTACTGAGCATTGAATAAAGTAATCATTAAAAACAAGTACACTATTCCTTTGATTACTGACTTTTTTTATCAGTTGGGTTAGATCAAGTATTTTTACAAAGCTTGATTTGAGGTTTGGATACTACCAAGTGAGAATAGCCAAGGGTGACAAAGCAAAAAGGGCTTGTGTGACTTGCTATAGGGCGTACGAGTTCCTCGTGATATCTTTCGGACTTACAAATGCACCAGCCACTTTTTGCACACTCATGAACCGCATTTTCCAGCCTTACTTGGACAAGTTCGTGGTGGTGTACCTCGACGATATCGTCATCTATAGCGATACGCGAGAGGAGCGAAGCTGCTCGAGATGAAAACGAGAGGAGCACGTTGAACATCTCCGGACCGTTTTCAAGGTGTTGCAAGACAACGAGCTCTACGTCAAGAAGAGCAAGTGTTCATTTGTCCAACCCAAAGTAGACAAACTTATAATAGACAAAGGGAAAGTGCAAGCTATAGCAGAATGGGAACGGCCTACGACAGTGACAAAGTTGCATTCTTTCTTGGGGATTATGAATTACTACTACCAGCTCACTAATTTCCTAGCACAGTCACACTACAAGACTTTCTCTGCCCCTTTTAGACTTTACACTCCTGTTGGACATCTTTGCGACTTTGGGCTTCCACCACCTCCTTTCACTAGTCAAATTATGCTTTACTATTGAGGATGAGCCCATTTTATTTCTCCCAAAAGTGACCAAAACCTAGTTTCTACTTTGTAAAATTCATATTCATTTTGATATTTTGGTAGAAAAAATCTTGATTGATACCACATCATCCATATCACAAGCTAAATGTAAGAACATTAATCGAGGTATGTATAAACAGTTGATTATATCAAAATCTCTTTCTTTCATTAGTAAAAAACGGATTTCTTTACAAACTTGTATTGTTCAAACGCATGGGCTTGGACATGTGATTCTCCAACAGGTGACGGTATGTCTTCTGGGTCTCTTTCGGGCTTAACCCATCGGCCGTGAGCATTCCGCACGAGTCCTTTATTCTCCAATTGGTACCAACAATGGGGGATCCTTAATTCATCCACCAACATGTCGCATGCCTTGTTCACTAAAGCAATATCCCTTCGAGCATCTGAACGAAATTTTGAATCACTAGAACTTATGAAACCATCCACTAGATGAAGGTACGTTTCTTGGCTATGAAATCCTAATAAGTTAAACCCACGCTTTAGGTAAGGAGATGATCGAACATCGAGCTTTAGTTGGGCTCCTACATGTGTGTAAATCCAATCTAATGTCCCTGTTATTTCATCAAACATTTGTAAACTTTCATTAAAAACAACTCCTGGCATTCTCGGCACAAAATCTTGATTAACTACCATCCTCAATATTTTAACACCCATTTGATGGAGCTCGTCCCGGAAGGCGATGTTGCCTACTCTAGGCGCACCAAACGAAATTACACTTATTGGAAGCCCTGGAATGGTGTCTTCAGCTTCATATGCATTAAGGAGAGCCAATGCTCCGCCAAGACTATGACCTGTGATTGTTAGGCTGATTTCTTCACCTTTTTCTCTATAGAATTTCACAAGTTTCATCACTTCATTCATGACTTGCTCTGAAGCACTAGTTTTGTTATACCTTGTTTGTTCATTCTTGGAAGTGTAAATACTTTGGAACCCATGTTCGACTTTAGCATCACCATGCCCAATTGGCTCCAACTTTCTTTGAAAATCCTCGTACCATTCTAATGGGGCCACGGTGCCACGCCACGCCACGACGATGTCTCTCCGGCCAATACGATGTGTCTCCTCGTCGTCACTGACTGCTACAAAGCCCATCCAGTTGGAATCCTTGCTCCATGTGTCTACCAAATGTGATCTTTTTAACCATTTGGGCATTTCTATATGTGACATAGCATAAATATACTTGCACACTTTATACCCATTTTTATCAATGCCTAGCTTTCCAAAGAAATTGTCACGATTGAACCTGCAACTACCGCAATATTCGGAGAAAGGATCAAAATCAAAGGCATCATATGTTGCTTGCGCAAACTCTCCATATTTAAGAATCTCTCGGCGGAGCCAAGGATGAAGTGGGTCTAAGAGATTGTCCCAATCATTAGAGCCATGAATTTCACGCCACCGATCAGAAATTATCTCCTTGGGAGACATTGGTGGACCCGAGTGATTGTATTGTTGACTCACTAAACTCCATGACACGTTTGCTCTTCTTGTTCTTGGAGGGTTTTCAATGTAGAGATGAAGGAGGTTGGAGAGGGATTCAGCCAGTCTATTTGTTGCTCGATTTGATGAAGGAGGGCCAACAAAAACTTCTTGATGGGCACGGATTACAGAAACCCGATTCAAACTGTCATTTATAGTGGCTGGCAGGTGGCTATGAATCATTGTGGACGTAATTGCCATAACTGGGGGTTTGAAATGTTGATGAAGATGATGAAGCTGGTAGAGAGAATGATAAGTTATATATATATTGGTAATCGGTATAGAGTTGGTACTGGAAAACTATTTTTCACGCGGGATAAAAAGGAGACCATTGAACATGAAAAGTTCGATGATTGAAGTCATAGTTTCCGTGATTTCACTAGGTTGATTCGGTATACATGAGAATTCGTGAGTGATGAATTTACGACGTTGCTTCTTTGAGAAAATAACAAAAGTACCAGTTGAAGTTTGATTAAAATATATAAAAATGTGATTAATTAATAAGACGGCACATGCAATGCAATAGGAGGATTGTTATTTGGTACAAAACTGAGCAATAAAAATAGGCCTCCCTCTGACCACTCTTGCTTGTAGAGACGTAGACGAAACATTGGCAAGACTTTCAACCACAATATATAATTCACCTTTCACACCCTTCATTCTAATTTAACACTTAATATATTAACTTATAACTCCTTTCTCGTATACACTAGATTGAAACAGTCTTAAATATTAACTTAAAATTTTAAGTTACACTTTTATATTCCGTGTTTGAATCAAGGTGTTTTTATTAATTAAATCTTATCACATTTAATTACACCTTATCTTGTTCTATTTAGAATAGAATATTATTTTAAGTAATGTACCAAATAGACCTTATACATTACTACTGCACGAGATTTCAAGGACAATTTGTAAGTAATTTTCTTGAAAATAAAAATATGGCTCATAGATTTACAATATATCCAAATTTCTAACATAATCCGTACAAAATTAATCATATATAACTTGTTTCTTCACAAGTGAAGAAGTTGTCAGGTTCGGCTGCTTATAATATTTCCAACCTCCAAGTTGTACTTTGAATAATAATAATAATAAAAAGAAACATGTGCATGTACTCCTCTCCTATGGTCAGCATTGTTGTCCGTCAATTAGCTTAAGAGCGCTGTTAGTTTTAGAGAGACACATATAAACAAGGCATTAAGATAATTTTCACCTTTGATTTTTATAATTTTTTTCTCTCTCTCTTTCTTTTTTGTTTTTTCTTTATTTTTTTCTTCTTACTAATGTCACTTTGTAACTCTCTTTGTATGGGTCTTTGTAAGGATAGTATTTTTCATTAGCTTATAGGAACCAAAACAGTACAATTAAATTATAGAAATTTAAAAAAAAAAAATTTCAAATTTTTATCTATCTACATTTGTTAAAATATAGTGTTCATTTCATTAAAAACACTACAAAAAATATGATTTGGTTAAAATTTTATATATACATCTATGGTCAAGATTGATATTTAAATAAGATATATCATAATCATGATCTTTATTCACCTATATTTAATGTATACTTTATTCGGAAAAAAAAAAACCCTAATTATTATATACATGCAAAACTAAATTTATGAGAAAACTATAAATTTTATTTTTTATGAATTTTTTATTTGTGACATAATATAACTTAAACCTCAATTCATAAAACTTTAAACAGAAATTTTTCAAGGACGAGAAGCATAATTAAATGGAAAATAATACAGTTACCGAATAATACGCATCGAATTCATGCACCGAATGACGTGACGTAATCCTGACCGTCGATTAATTATGAATTGATATTAATCAATGGTCATGATTACGTCACGTTATTCAATGTATATTCTTCAGTAACTATAGCATTACTCTAATTAAATACTATGAGTTTCCTGTTTAATCAAACTCCTATATTGTGAGAATACCTAGTTCTACAAGGGCCCAAGCTTTCTTGACTCATTATATAAACAAAGGTTAGCCCTTTCATTATGCATGGAGATCACAACCCTTCTTTTTAACTTACAAAATTCTTACTCCCAAGAACCTTTAAGTTACACTTATATCAGTGGAATCAAGGTGTTTGATAATTAAAGTCATTATAAACTTAGAACCAGATTACCTTTGGCCAGACTGCCATTCGGCCAGATGGCGTAAGACCATGAGACTAACCAGTCATGTGTCATCCGACGACGGGCACAGTGGAGTAGGTGAAAGTTTTGTTAAAATACTTCAGTGGGAGATTGTTAACTAAATTCAAAAGAGTTAAAACTAATGAAATATTTTAGAAAATGTTTTCTAAAAAATATAACCATATTCTTAAAATCTTATATATTGAATCCTACATCTTATAGAATAAAATATTACAATAATATATCAAATAGGCCGATTACTACGACGCCCGATTCTAGGACAAGAAGTATTTTCTGAAAAAAAAAAATGGCTCATAGATGAAAATACCAAATATCTAACATAATCCGCAACAAAATACAATAACGTTTCTCAGAAGTGAAAGGTGTCGAGGTCAGCGCTTATAAATTTCCAACTCCAAGTTGTACTTTGAATAATAATAAAAAAAAAAAGAAACATGATATACTCCTCATATGGTCAGCATGGTTGTCTCAATAACTTAGAGAACCAAACAGTAAAAAATTAAAGAAATAAAAAAAAAATTGCAAATTTTATCTATCACATTTAAAATAGGTGTCGTTCATCATAAAAACACTACAAAAAAGATTTGGTAAAATATAAACACAGATCAAGATGATATAAAAGATATATCATCATAATCATCACCATAATGTATACTTTATTCGAAAAAAAAACCCAATTATATCAGGCAAACTAAGTATGAGAACTATAAGTTGATATTGATGGACAAATAACTAACCCAGTTCAAAAAACTTAAACACAAACAAGAGGAGAAGCATAATAAATTCATATATTAGGACTCTAAAAATAAAAAAAAAAAAGGAAACACAGAAAACTTAAAGAAATTTCAAAGTTAAGGAAGGGCACTTACTAGCTCCCAATGAGCCTGTTACCTTCTTCCAGAGTGTAGTTCAAGAAAGATCTTGTTGTAAACTTGCATGACTAAAAACAAATTTGAAAAATAGATTTTGATGTGCGAGCCGAATACCAATAAGCCACAAAAGATATAATCAAAATTTCTGTAAAAAACAGAATCTTGAATTTATAATGTGTAATTCATTAGGTCACTTATAAAACAATAAAAGTTTAAATTTTAATATCAAAACTACTATAAAGGAGAGAGACGATATGTTACGGATGTTTGCAGACTTGCAAAAACGTTTTGAATCATAGATTTGAAATCCAAATATGGTTGACAATACAAATAATGAATGCGCAATATATTGATAGGTCCGAATATAGTTAGTTGAAATCAAGTAATTCCTTCATATATGGATCATGTAATTATTTACATTATTTGTCCCTTACAAGTTACATTTCACTTGTAAAATTGACACAAATTGTACATTGACAAATAATAAATATACAAACACATCTTCTCTATTGTCGTGTCTCTTTTTTTCCGGCAAACTCAGCACCCAGTTGCATCACGACAGTGGAATCAAGCTTACAGAGGCTCTCATAATTGGGATTCTCTCAATCCAAACATGATTACGCCTTATTCTCCAGACCAAGTGATGATCTCCTCAATCTTATGTCTATGGTGATACATCTTCATTACAGAATGATGAAGAGTGCAATCAAGAACTAAAAGATATCTACACAGACATTCCACATCAAGATTAATGGCACCAAGAGTATTTCCTAGGAATCGAAATGGCTCATTCCTTAAAAAGAATATCTCTCAGCCAGCAGATGTATGTGCTCGAACTCATATTAGATTAAGGGTTGGCAGTATGCAACCAAGCGCACTTATTGTAGAACAGAACGTGGCTCACACACAAGAAATACGATGAAAAAGAATCAAAATTCTAAGACAGGTCCCTTGTTAGAAGACAGCTCTAGCTACCATAGCTCATTGGAAGACCATAACCGGACAATGACTCTACCAACATTAGCTATGTTGTACAAATTCTCAGCCAGTTTATGCATGCAAACAATCCCCCATTGTAACAGTTAAAGTACTTAAATACAAAGGGTGTTCCAGGGTTGGGACTTCTCCTACCAAGGAAATGAGACTTAAGCATCACAACATACGTGGACTTAGATTGGGGCTCATGTCTAGTGACAAGAAGATCCCTCACTGGCTTCTGCATTAAGCTTGGAGAGACTCTTATCTCATGAAACAGAAGCAAATCACAGTATCACTCTCTCAACAGACCAGATATAGAGCCATGGCAAAACTACTTGTATTTCACATGGATTCTTGGTTTATTAAAGGATCATACATACAAGTGGAAACATCGTAAGACTGTATTGTGATAACATGGCAACAAAAGATATTGTAGCCAATCTAGTTTTTCATGAAAGAACAACTATATAAGATTGATGTCACTTTTTCAGAGACAATACAAGAAAGTATGATTAAAACAGAGCACATCCAACCATGATCAGCAGCAAATACTTCACAAAACTGTTATGTCAGAAGCTCGAAGTTTATGACATCTATAACATGAGCTGTGGGGAGTGTTGACACCAATATTATGAATGCACAATCAATGGAGATAACTGATATGGTCCAAAATGGTTAGCCAAATCAAGTTATTTACCTTCTAATTGATCTGTATTATTTACATTATTTGTTTTGTTACAAGTTACATTTCTACTTGTATAAATGACACAAATTGTACATTGACAAATAACAAATATATAAAGGTCTCCTCTCTATGTCTTGTCTCTTTTATTTTTCCGGCATCTTCTTGCCTCTCCTTCTTCCTGGCATACTTCGGTAGTTCAGCTACCTCCGCCACCCACTCATAATACAAGTATCACCTAATTATACAATAACCATAAATTTGCGAGTGAAGAAGTTGTTGAGGCTTGGGTGCTTATTATATTTCCAAGCCTACACTTTGAATCATAACATTTGACCCGAACAGAAATTGATTAAGACCTACCAATATATTCATGCATGTTATAATGAAATATTTTAAACAAGAGTCCCATTCTCACAAATTAGTTGTTTAGATATCATTCTACTTCTGCTAGGAAATTTGAGATTATTTTACAAATTAGTAAACACTATGTTTTCATTTCTTTCTTTAG